CGGCTGCTAGGTTCGCCCCCTGCCGGGGCAGGGGGGCCCGACCTCCCCCACCCCTGGGCAGGGGGCAAACCCGGCAGCCGCGCTTCTGACTGTCAGAGCGCGACGCGCGGGGCTGTGAGGTCGGGCCCCCCGGGCAGGGGTTGAACCCGGAAACCGCCCCCCACCGCTTGCCCGTGGGCCGCATGTTGTGCAGGCCTGCTTTAGAGTACTGAAATGATTCAATGCCTAATCCTTGTGTGATCCAGACTGTTGGATGGAGGCAAAGTATTGATCCGTTTGATCAAATCTTTAAAAAAGGAATAGATGTCAACTCTGTGTTAATTCTGAATTTTAGTTCCCTTATCTACAAAATGTGAACTTGTTGATTGTATATAACCAAATGGCTATTTAATTTCCTTAAACTTTCTCTTTATAGATAATTGGTTGCCATTTCAGGACTATTCCAGTGAATGAAAAGGATACCTTAACATATTTCATCTACTCAGTGAAGAATGACAAGAACAAACCAGATCTAAAGATGGACAGTGGTGTTCACTAGGATGAAAAAAATGGGACTAATACTCAAGTTGCAGATCTAAAGACTGTTTTTGACATGCAGAAGCTTTCTTTGTAACTTTTTTTTCAGAGAACTTGTCTCTGATTTTATTTTTCATGGTCTTGCTGACTCACTGAAAAACAACTTCCTCTAAAATGAGATTTCCTCAGCAAAAGTATTTTAAATAAATATTATTAATACTGTTGCTCAAGCGTTCGTGTGTGTGTTTGTAACTTATTTAGTGAGTTATTTGTACCTAATAATAGTTTGGGTTTACCTAAATATATTTAAAGTTATTAAAAATATTGTTTTTGTTTTTTTCAATTATAGAAGTATGCTAAAGATTAGTGTGTGAAATGTGTTTTGAAATCATCACACCACAACATGGTTTCTATATAGTATAAAATTTTGCTGTGATAAATTCTAAACATAGTTGCTCCAAACAGAAGGGTCATAATAGAATTGCTCTTGGCTTCCTGAATAGCAGTGACACTTGTAGTTGTTATTAGTCATAAGTATAAATGGCTGCACTTGTGTTTTTCTTTTAGAATTCTGGTATGCAAAGATCTTAATAGAGGGTTTTTTGAGATCTCTAGTTTCTTCACCTCTGGGATATGCACTGCTAAGCCTCAGGACCATCATGCTACTATATAAAACTGATGGCAGCTATTTAGTGCTCAAATATCCACATGAAGATGGAAAGACTATCATCATTTATAATGGAAAACTTCTGTTTCTTTGAACAATGATTCTCTATTGATCTACATATGCTACTACCTAGAAATTGCATTGGAGAAAGGAAGGCTGAGGAACTCATGCTGTGTTTCAATATTATTTAATAAACATACTGTGTCTTGCTCCGGTGAGGTCTGCATTAACTCACGGCTGGAAAATGCATAAAGCTCATTAATTTAAAGAATTGTTACCTTTACATATAGCACTTGCATCTAAATGTATATATTTTAGTAAAGTTTACAACATTGAGTGACAGCTATGACACAACACAAAACCTCCTGTATTTCCACTGAACCCTTATGAGAACAATGAAGTTCTGGATGACATGCAATTTTCTGCTTTGTCTTCTGAGCTGTGAGGAGAAACAAGTGAGATGGCATCTTAAAACTGAGAAGAATGCAGCATCTCTCTATGCTCACTGAGGCATGGTTGATATAAAACTCTGAACATAAGTTTTTGATCAATGATGAGCTACCTTCACTTTAAGAAAAATGTGTGAAAGTAATATTGTTTACTCTGTCCCACATGCTGCTAGATATGGTGATTTAGCAGGGTCTCGCTGTTCTCAAAAACTTGCTTTTATTCCTATGTGGTTCTTTGTTTTTCCTTACCTGTAGCCCTTCACTGATGGAAATAATCCCCAGGCTCAAACTGGCTGTTTTCCCAGTAATTAGCAGTGATGGAATTTCTTTTGCATTTGCCATGTCCTGTGAATTTTCACACTCTTGATCAAACTTCGGCCAGCACTGTACAACCAGACATAGCTATTTGCCTGAATTCAGTACTCCTACTCATGAACCTTCTCTTCTAATGTGTGCGTTCATTGTAACGTTTGTAAAGTGCTTTGAAAACTAAGTATTACCTTGAATGGCACCATCCTACTGATGGAAATAGAGTAGGTTAAATTCAGTAAGATAATAAGTAGGATGCCCAAAATGTGGATGTATTTAAGCTTCTATTGCATTTTAATCATATTACACATGACAGGGCTTGAAATATCCTCTTGGATACTTGACAGGTGAGTGGAAACTTTCCTTGGTGCAAGAGGGAGCCAAAAGCCTAAGTTTTAACAGAAACTAAACTTCCAGTCTTAAGCTTCTGTTCTTAAAAAACAAAACATTGTTTCTGGTTCTTAATACTGTGGCAATTATAACCTCCTGCATGAGAGAAGATGTGGTGCTGTCTTTTTGAATCTGCAGCTTGCAGAGCCTTCCCCAACCAGCAGTAGAAGAAGGAAATTGGTGAATTTCACGGAACTGGTCAATTTTACTGCCACATTCAGAATGCTGTATGAAGATGTGAAGATGACAATTGTCAGTTCTGCTGCTACTGCTTTGGAAAGTTGTGAGCAGCAGAGGCAAGCATAGTGTAATTCAGGTAGAAGCTGGAAGAGGAAGGAGAAAGCTTGTCTCTCCACACCTTGCTGATAGATGGCAGGACAAGGCCTTCAAGCTTTCCAGACATCCCTTGGTTTCAGCAGGTCTTATTTGTATCTGCAGAGATTAACAGTTTGTCTCTGGACTCTGCTCAGGGCTTTTTTGCATAGTTTGATCAGGCTGTGGGAAAACCAGTGAATGAGGGACAGGTAAACTGAGACTTTCTAAAAAATTGCATCTGTCCTGCAACTGGTCATTGTGAAACTATTTGGTGCAAGTCACTTAATAAACATAATTGATTAATTGAATACACATTTATTATCATTTGCATATAGTCCAGCAAACACTCAGACCAACTAGGTACAAGATTACAATCATCCAACCGTTATAGACAGCAAAGTTTCTGAACATATTTTGTATTTGATACAAAGTTGTCATGTAAGTGAAGTATGGTTGTCTATTAGGCAATAGTGATTTTTTTTTAATGCTATGTAATTTACATAAAATGACTACTGCAGAAAGTGTCATTGAAAAAGAATAGCACAAGATAGCTATATTAAAGTTTCATATTTTGCACTAGATATTTTCACACTTTTCCATCTGATTAACTTGGTAGCTCTAGGAATTACCATATGTTAATGAAAAGAAACATTTAATACTTATGGCATACAGCTTTCATTGGTGTACATGCTTAGAATGCTAGTCTCTGTGTCTAATTATATACCTGTCTTTTCCTAAAGGGCTATATTAAAGATAGGGAACTAGCATTTTAAAGTTACTACTGAGATGTGCTATAGTTCAAACGAGGCCTGAATCAGGGCCCATTGTCTTCCAAAGATATTGGATCAGGCTCATCACCAGTAGCTGTTTTACTGAATATATACATTATAGCAGCTGGGTACTAAACACCAAAAGTGCAAAGAGGAGTTTAAATAAGGCCCCATTATGAATAACTATTTTGTGAATTTAGAGTCCAATTGTGTTTCCATGGAAGCTAGTGGGAGTCTTGCTATTGACTTCAAGGGGATTAACAAGCTTTTTAGACCAAGATATTCAAAAACAGATGTAAAAAGTTAGGGTCCTCAAACCTTATTTAGGCACCTAAATAAAGTGACCTGATTTTCAAAAGTGCTGAACGCACAGCAGCTCCCACTGATTTCAATGTTACTTTTTGTTAAAGTAATGAAGACTTATTGATATGAAATTGCAGTACAGTGAACTGCTGCTAAGGGCTTCGATGGGAGTAAAACAGTGTAGTGAGGCGTTACACTGCCTTATAGCAGCTGAAATTTTGACCCTAAATCTTTGAGAGGTGGAATGACAACACCAGATCTTTTGAGACTGTCTGGGTTGCACAATTAATTAAGGAGGTTCTACTGCACCCTTCTTAAATCCTTCTAATGAAAACTAATGTAGCTACCAAGTTAGAAAGGAGAGCTTTACCATTAAAGCTTCAAACCATGGTTACTTCTACATACAGAAAGGGAAACGTATACTACTTGGTACAGTAAGGCTCTGCACTCTAGTGCTGTAGAAAGGAATAGAAAGGAACATATCACACAGACTATGCTGAGAGACTGTGTCACACACTCTCAAAGAAACTGCAAAACCACCTGATCAGCATCCTATACAGCAAACAGGGAAAGATTAAGAATGAGCTCTCAAAACTAGTAAAGGAATTGATATGCAAACTAGACACAATCAACTCAGGATTAAATAAGGACTGGGAATGGTTGAACCATTACAAACATTGAATCTATCTCCCCTTGTAAGTACTCTCACA